CTCTTCGTCGTCGTCGTCGGCCGAATCGTCATCCGACCCGTCGGCAGGGGGCGCCACCGGTGCGTCGGTCGCAGGTGTGGGAGCAGCGGCAGCAGGCGCAGCAAACGGGTTGTCGGCCGCATTGCCGAAAAGCATGCCGCCCAAGCCGCCCGCAGCACCGGCAGCCGGTGCAGCAAAGGGGTTGAGCTTGGCGCGCTCCTCCTGCTCCTGCTTGGCCTTGGCGGCGGCAGCCTCGCGCTCGCGCTTGGCCTGCTCGCGCGCCTCACGCCGCGCCTTTTGCTTCTCCAACTTGGCCGCCCAGCGACGGTTGAATTTGAGCGTGCGGACCACTTTGAGTCTGTGTGACATGCAGCAGAACGAGGGGGAGGTGTCAGTGAACCTTTTCCCCAGTCTTTTCGGCGATGGTCAGCGACAGCAAGACGAGCAGGAGCATGCTGCGACAAGGCAGACGCATTGGCGTGCTTGGGGGCATCATTGTTAAAAAGCTCGGTTGTCAAAGTTGTAAATCTTTTCAGAGCCCGAAGGGGCGTCAAGTGAAGAAATTGAAACTAATCCTGTGCCCTGGCACGCCGACTGCGCACTTGGATCGGCATGTGCTGCGCTGTGCTGCGCTGTGCTGCGCTGTGCTCTGCTGTTTAGATACGGGGAGAAACTTACGAAGAGACGTCTTTGCGTTGGCATGCGGGTCGCGCGCAGCCCCAGACCAGGAGGCAGCGGTCGTAGGCCGACTCTACGAGCGGCGCAAAGATCTGGACGAGCAGCTGCATCTGCTGCTTGCACACGCCACACTGTGCGATGTCGCTGGCGGGCGTGGACTTCATGGGCAGCCAGGCAGGACGTCCGCCGATGCGCGATACGAGCGGGTTGGCTTCGTCCTCGGCCTCGAGAGGTCCGTCGGCGAGGCCAAGCTGGACGTCGGACGCGTCGAACTCGGAGCCCGAGTCCGAGTCGTAGCCGTCGTCAGAAGGTGGTCGCGGCATCTACATGCAGGAAAGGCAGAAGCGAGCGAATCAGTGAGCTGCGTCTTTTTTCAAGCGTTTGCGCCAGCACCGCGCCACGTGAGCAACGCTGTGAGCGGAGGGTTGTGGTTCAGGAGTAGGTAGCCTAGGGTTGTAAGCATAGAATCCCACAGGCGTCTCGCCGAAGCTCAACGTGCCTCCCGTGTATAATTGGGACTCTAAGACTCGTCATCTAGTTTTTGTCATCATTTTGTGGGGAGGGATGAGGGTGGTGGTGGTGGTGGAGAGCATGGCGGAGATACGTACGATGTTGGGGTGATGTGGTGATCGAGTGTTCTGAAACCACAAGTCTCAGAACGGGTATATGGTGAAGGGGATCGATGGGGAGAGGAAGGAAGACCGAGCAGGCAGCGCGAGAAGCTTTGACCTCTGCGAAAGCAGCGGTGCGGAAGCAGGGGAAAAAAAAAGAAAAAAAAAAGTTGCTCGAGGGGGCACCCACGCAAAAAACTGCGGGAAGCTCGTGGCTGCATTTTTGGGATTGCAAGCAGGTGACGGACTAACATCTTTGCTCAAAATCCCAATCGATCACAATGGGGCCGACAACATCGACGCGCCAGGGTTACCGCCGCGGAAGATGCTCAGCTTGCGGGAGCAGAAGGGCTAGCTTGAGCGTGTCGGTGTTCGTCAAGCTGCGAGCGACGCTGCCTGCGCTCCGACAGGAGACGGTCAAGAGGCGGAGGGACGACGGATGAGCACACGACGCGGAGGTTACTCGGACCATCCGACCAGCGGTGTGCAGAGTTGGAAGGTAGCAATGCAAATCATCGGTCACTGGGTCATGATTTCCAGTAGCGCAAGGAGGGGCGGAAGAACCGGCGGTGGAGAGGTTGGGCCGCGAGTGTCTTCTTGTGGCCCCCGCGTAAAGCAGCGACGCCGCCGACTGGCCAATCTCCACATTAATTGGTTGACCGCGCTCAGCCGCAATCACACGCTCTGTCAGAAGAGAGCGAAACCAGCAGCGCCCACGCTCAAAGCCTTTGGAAATCGCAGCAGCAGCAGCAGCAGCAGCAGC